GCTGGAAAATAACTAAAACATTTTTATAGACCAAGAAAATAGAAGCTAATTGGACCAAAAGGTAAACCACCCACCCATCCATCCAAACGACAAACAGCCAAAACATCCAACCAGAGCTCTGACAGAACGGTTCACATCTCGATTCTACACAGAGCTGACTCAGGTCTGGATGCATATGTACGTCACTTTCTACAGAAGCCTGGAAATAAATTCAGGAGCAGCATCTCGTTATAGTGAGAACGTTTTTCACTACAAGAAGAACGTTTTTGTCAAAATAAGAAAGTTTCTTGCTAAAATAAAAAATTTCTCCTTAAAACAAAAAGTTTCTCACTATGAGATGCAATGTTTGTTAAAACGCGGAGGATTCTTGCTTTAGTGACTTTTATATCTAGTTATGGAAAACAATAAGATTTAAAAATACACTCCTCATACAGATTTCAACTTTTTGAAAAGGCATAAAGGGGCTCATTACACCATTCCTCCAAACTGATTCTTCTAGACGACAGCAGAAACTCATCAGAGGCGTTTTCATATTACGCTTACATTTCTTATTTAAACGAGAAGATATTTTTGTTTATATGACATCTCATTGTAACAGTTTAAAAAAAATCTCATTAAGAAAAAAAGGCCTTGTATTTTTTGGGAGTTTTGCATCTTGATATGACTAGGACATTTTGTCATTTAACCCTGAATCGATTTCTCAGCTCTGGCAGTTAAAATGCTTCTATACTTTTCAGACTTGTATTTGCAAAACATCCTGCATCATCTTACCTCTGCCAACTTTGTGTCGCTCTGTCACATAAAATCCAAATAAAATGAACATGTTTGTACATGTAATGTGAAAGAAATTAGGACTTTTTTTTTAAACAAACTGTAGGTGTGAAGTAATTCCAAGAAACAAAACTTACTTCAATTATAAAAATGTATCTTATTAGTATCTAACACCTGATTCAAGCACAAAGCTTTAGAAATACTCTGACTGCCAGGGGAACTGATGGAGTCTCATGATGTCAGTTCTTATCATCAACATCTTCCCTCACAATTTACTCAACTTGACCTCTATCAAGTGCGTTCACATTGATTTGACCCCTGCTTCAGAAAGACTACCAAGCAAGGAACAGGCCGTCATCACCAAGGCAACCATCAGTGTACTGCGTGTCAGCTGTTCTGTGTTCACTTGGTGGAAACATGACTGAATGAAGTTCATTATCAGCTGAGCGACTGGCCCTTGAAGTGGGTTCTGGTGTATTTCATAATCACGGCAACATTTTTATCATTCTTCTCATCGCTGGTAGAGACTTATTCATATTGCTACAGAACTAATTAAAATGGAGCAGCTCCTCCCTGTTGATCAGAGGGTGGAGGAGGATAGCAGAGTTTGTTTGGAAGAAAAGACTGACCGCTGACAAAAACAGAGAAAACCACAAGAACATGACAGCAAACACATCGCAGTCTGGATCTGCTCTGGTTGATTATCTAAGCCTTTCATCTCAGCTCAGTGTTCTCCTGTTTCTGTGGAAGAGCTCTCCATCACGGCTGGCAGAATGATGTGGAAAACCTGAGATGTAGAGATGAACTGACCAATCAGACAGACACAAAACTTTCAATTTTCTCTTAATTTAGCTGTTAAGGAGATGAAAAGTATTTTTCTATACATTTACTACATACATCAAAACTAACAGCTCCCATCGACTCACTAACAAACAGGAAGTGTTGATGGAGAAATGTTGCTGTTGGTTTTTGATGTGGTCCTAGCTAAAAGGCTAACATTGCTAACATTAAATCACTAATCATAAACATTGGTTCCACCAATGGTAAAGAACTACACTAACATGGTGTTTAGCAGAAGCTAATGCTACAGCATCAACATCAAAATATATCTGCTCTTTAAAAGAAACTACTCTTGATCAACGGTTTTATTTTGACATTAGAATTTTTACGTGTCGTATAAAAAAAAGAGAGAAAAGGGGAGAGGAAATTGAGCTGGTCCATAAACAGACTTCACCAACTTCAAAATACGAGCATGAATATAAATATCTAACTGCTTAAACAAGTCGATGACAACACTTCACCACACATGTTGAACTTTATTCAACTGAAACTTTACAAAACAGCCAAGTGAATTCGTGTCATTTAGGGAAGGTTAAGTGTGCGAAATGTTTTCAAAGTCAGTGAAAGCGCTAAAGAGCTAAATAAAAAATTTGTTCTGCTATTCCACTAACTATTAGTGCGTTAGTGGAAGTTCAAGCATAGATGGGGAGAATTCTAGAATTTATTTTTAATTAGGTTGAAATTGAAATGAGCGTGTATGCAAGTATAACAATTTGCTGCACAAGTTGGAATTCAGTATTGGACAGGAAACATGCAATTTCAGTACACATTGCATGTTTACTGACATGAGAGAATTTTTTTTTCTGAAAAAACAAAACATAAGATGATTATGTACCTGCAACATTTTAGAAAACCTGTTTAATAATAATTAATGCCTTTGTTTCACATGGAATGGTGATGCATAGCTTTAAAGCGTAAACTACTGCACAGAGCTCACCCTGCAGATGAATCTACCTCAATCATACCTGCTGCACTTGCAGCACTTGAACTCAGCTTCCTTCACCGCCACATGGCTGGAAACCACAACCTGCTTACACTCTCTGCAGCGAAAACTTTGCAAGAAGCCACCAAACCGAGTGACCTTACGGTTTTTGCTGTAAAGCCAGCTCATGGAACAAAATGGCTGTGATCCAGACCTGGTGGGGTTTGATCTGCTAAGACAATAGCAAAGGACTGTTCTCAAAGGAAATGGAGGTGATGAGAATGTTTAACCCCAATTAGAAACTCTATAGAAAAAGTGCTGCTGCATGATGGAAAGATAACAGGAAATAATATGTTTACTCACTGTTCACCCTCTTTCAAGTGTAGAAATGAACTAGAAAATCAGGAATTACATTTTAAAACACAAACTAACTCAAATCAGAGGCAAATCCCAAAAACCAATCCCAGCAGATAAGGTGGTGATTAACAGCCTGTAAGTGTCAGCCCTGCTGCGGATGAAGCACCTGACGTAGTTCGGTGGTCTTCACCCACAGCTCCGACCACTGTGGGTGATTAGTGTGTTAGACTCCCACACTAACGATAAAGCATGGTAGAGAAGGGATGATGGCTTGGGATCATTTGAAGCAACAATATAAGTGCAACATGGTAAAAAAAATTTAAAAAAAATCATCACACAAATAATATTTAGTTAGGATTTATTTGTTCAAGTGGTTTTACTACAGACCACAGCATAAATATAGGTAAACCTGCTAAGTTTAGACGCATGGACTGAAATAACGTCATTGGCATTTATAGAGCCTCTTGCTTCGCTGAAGAGTTTTTTGTGAAAATGAAGTCGAATGCAAAACTAATGAGCAGAAACAACCAGAAGATTTGACACTTCTAGAGTGTTCTGAACCCACCAATATTTGTGAATATTAAAACACACACACACACACACACACACACACACACACACACACACACACACACACACACACACACACACACACACACACACACAAAAGAAAACAAAGAGAGAAAAAGTTCAAGGTATACTGATTGACATTTACTTGTGAAGTCAGGAGTTTCATCCAGAATAAATATATGTTGTGCTCAACGATGCACATATTTACTGTACAGAAAAACACTATGAAAACATGTTCACAGGAATTCTGCATGTGTTACTGTGTATAATCAATATAATGAACAATGAAAAATGCATATAGGCTGTTCAGTAATAAAGTTCTTGCTATATTTTAAACACACATCAGCTATGAGGTTGGGGTCGGTGTGCCACCTCCGACTGTCCCTCTTGGAAGATGCCAGTTAGCATCTCAAAAGCTCATTTAATCACTGACTCTGACCCAAATCCCAGAGGAGTTGAACAGGAAGCTTTATGGATGCAGAACAGAGAGGGGAGGAAGTTCAATATCCCAACATCTGAGCTGAGCCATGAGACTATCACACAGCAACAAACTTCAGTCAGAGGCCTCCACTGATTAGTTGCAAGACTGACTGCTAGTGGGGATCCTTCCTGCACACAGCATCCCGTCCACAGCGGCTCTTTGTGGATGGATAACAGGAGTTACCATTACTAGGAAAACTTTCAATATCAACTTCACTTAAATTTAATTTCTTGCTTCTCATAATCACAACGTTCTGTTCTTTTTCAGGTTTAGCATCTAGGTCAGTACAATCCACTGGAAATGTTCATCTGATTGAACATAATAAAAAAAAAAAAAGAAAGAAGACAGATATTAACCAGTCAAACACAAGATCCAAATCTATCCTTTGGGGCCGCGGTTCCCTACTATTAATGTGGGGATGGCGACTGGAAACTGGACCACAAACTGGTTGAGAAGAGTTGAGCAGCTGGTCCAGCCTCATATGATTCACTCACAGACACATTTAAAGCTGCACTGCACCGACCGCTTAGCGTGGACAGACTGCCCCCCCACCCAAAAAAAAAAAAAAAAAATCCCTGCAGCATCACCAGAAACACACAGCAGCCGAATTATGTGTCCTTCATCTGACTCCACCAAGCATCGATGAGATGTTGATGGTTTGATGGGGGGTAAATAAGGGGATCAAAATGCGTCAGTGCTTGGAGAAATAAGAGACCCCCTCCACCCCCTTCAAACCCCCACCAGCACCAGCAGCTTCATTAGTTTCGTGTTGATTCTTCCATTAAGTCACAAAGAGGATGTGAGCTGCTGGAGCAGCGAGCAGGGCATCACGTTCAAACCAGGACGACGCCTCAGCTCCACACTGGAGCTGGAGCAGCAGCAGGAGGGAAACACTGGCCGAGAGAGCTAACGCTGCCGAAGTGCCTTCATGTTTAAAGAAACGCCAGTAAAAAAAGAAATAGTCTGAGGAGGGGGATAAATAAATCCCAGCCATTCACTCCGCTGTGGAGACAGGACAGAGCAGAATGATGTGGAAAACCACAGCAGAGCGTCACTTACCGATATAAGCGGCACTAATGTCCCACAGCGCCGATTTCCATCACTTTAGGCTGAACGAATGTGTCGGTAATAGAGAGCGGCGGCGGCTGCTGCGGCGGCGGCGGTGGCCCTGTCGTTCTATCGCCCTGCTGCTCCGTAGTAGCCGCTGCGTGTGATGGCTTTAGATCTACAGGGCCACAATGAGACTGCGATGCCTTCACGAGCTGTCGGAAATATTCCAATAAACAACAACGGGTAAACAAATGTCGGCTCCAGAAGTCTTTAGGGGAGGGTTCGGGAGGGAGAAGCGAACTTGTTTTCCCACCTATTAATACGTGGAAACTAATTATTTAGACAAATTGCTTTACAACGTTTTATAGTGAGCAAACTTATTCAAAACGGAGTCAATTTAAATCGGGCCCATGCAACTGGACATATCCTTGTAAGATATTCGCTTAAGAATGTTTCCAAATATTGTGACCAACTTATAACGTAGTTCACCTTGGAGTATTAACTTTCCAGACCCTTTTTGGACGATTACCTGTCCGCTCTCACTTGCAGCTGGAAAACCCGAGCTGTAAAAAACTAAACAACCAAGTCGTGAAGTTTGAGTGGCAGCAGGTCTGTCCAATCATTGCTGGTACACGGGTGAAGCGCTGAATGTAAATACACAGATTTCTATACCACAAATGTCGGCTAAATTTTGAGATAATGCTATTAATAAGCCGAAGAAAACAGTAGGCAAAAGCACGTGTTTGTTGCAGTAACTTATATGTATTTTTTTAAAGTCTGAATTTGTCCTGGGTGCTGAATGAGATGCTGTTTTACGACTGTCTGTAAACAGGTGTGCGGACTGCAGTGTGGGGTTTCCGCCATCTCCTGTCTGCTTTGAGTACTGCACTTTTCTGCTTCATTGCCGAAAACCACAATCTCGCTGAAGGAACCTCCGCATCAGTCTAAAGTTATTTAACCCATCCTAACATTCTGTTTAATCCCCTCGTCATGTATTTTTGTTATATACAAAAAAAAAAAAAAAAAAAAAAAAAAAACAAATAAACCGACCAACAGTATCAAACACTTTTTTTTTTTATTTTTGTCACAAACCAAGTTTTCTTTTTTGTACAGTAAAGGTTTATTATTGTAATTATATAAATGTAAACGTATTACTTCTGAATTAATTATACTGAAAGGGAATTTGGAACTTTTTTTGTTCAAGTGAATAATAAAAATAGCTGCACAACAAAACACAATGTTAGATTTTTTTAACAATTTAACATCAGTTCTTATGTTGATGTTGAATTGCTATTCAACATCAAAATCTCATAATTATGAGGGATGTTCAACGCAAGATGAAGAACTTTTTCTGCTCTTCATGAGGTGTTGAACATGAAATGAAGAACATCTTCATGAGACAATGTTCATTTTGTGAAGATGTTCTTATCCTCAGCATCCTTAACACAAAATGAAGAACATTTTCAGTTCAACATAAGGTATTGAACTGAAGATGAAGAACATCCACATGAGATTAAGATTCTTCATCTTATAAAGATGCTCTTATGTTAATCATCTTCAACATAGGATGACAAACATTCTGTCTTTTCCACTCCACTTTGAACACAAGATGTTCGAGGAAATCTTCATAGTATGAAGATGTTCTTCACCATATGAAGACTCTCCTACGTTGAACATCTTCAGCACAAGAATTTGTTCAGCATAAGATGTTCAACGTCTTGTGCTGAAGAGCTCTTGTAGTACACTATGTGCAAACATACAATGTAGCATCTGCTGGGCAGTGAAATGTCTATGGCTTTAGGGATGCTGAGATTCAGCATACCTTCATATCCTCTACAATTTGTTTTTAATATGTCTGAGATTGTTTTCTGTTGTGTTTGGGAGCTGGATGTGAGGGGTTAGCTGCAGATTGTGAGGGTAGGTCCGGGTCAAATGCAAGTTCAATTTGTAGATCAATACAGTTTCTTTGATATGTATGTGTGTGGGGGGTTGGTGTGTGTGTGTGTGTGTGGTGTGTGTATGTGTGTATTAGGGAAAGTTTGTGTGTGGCCTTTGAACTCTTTTTCTGGTGTTCAAATACTTTCATAATTCACGGGTCCAAAATGACCTATAGGCAGTCCTTGTACCCTCAAGGAAATATAAACAAAAACAAAGTATCACTTTTTCTAATGATGGGGTCAATTTAGGAAAAGTCATAAAATTTCAAGAGGAAGTAGATTGTTTAGGGTATTTTTTTTTACAGCTAAACATGCTAGTGGGTCACTTTTGACCTGCAAGACAACACAAGGGTTAAAACATTACCACAGCATGATGCTGTCACCACCATGTCTCATTGTGTGAATGCAGTGTTCAGGGTGTGTGTTTGTTTTGCCTCATAAATAGTGCTTTTCTAAAAGGTTCAGTGTTACTCTCATCTGATCAAAGCAGCTTTTAACTTGTTTTCTGCAGGACTGGTAGTGTGTTCTTCTGGTCATTTTCCTGCAGGAACATGATTTTTCTCCTGCTAACACATGGTCCCACTTGAAATCCGAGAGCTCTGTAGCTCCTCCAGGGTGACCATGCAGGGACTTCTTGCGTGCTTTAACACAAACCTTACAATCCAACAAGCCATTTTTTTCTTTGTTCATAGTCTACCTGCCATACTCTGCATTTATTCTGAGATACAGTTAACTAATTAGCCGACATTTAAACAAGATGGTTTACACTGAAACTGGTAAAGTTTTTGCCAGGCTTGTATTGTAACTAAATGACCTTTGTGAGTGGATGGTGACTCCAGGCCCCTGAGTGTGTAGAAACAGAACAGATAGATGGGCGGATAGATTCGTTTTACAGATTGTAACATTTGGGCTCCATCTTCTGTCCACATTTAGAATAACACTTTTCTTCTTTGTGGCAGCACAATATATACAGGTGTAACCTCTGGACAATATGTGAGCATTTTCAAACTTACTTAAAAATATTGTAATTACAAGCATTTATTCAGATAAAAGCTGAAGTAGTCTATTCAACTTTTATAAACAATATGTATTTTCCCCCATATCTGCAAAAAACAATTGCCACTGTGTTGGCAATTGTTCCAACAGGACCAGTACATTCTGAGAGAGATAATCTGTGAAAAAAAATAGAGTTTTTCTACCTCCTCTCTCTGGTCCTCCAGCTGTCTACAGAAACACACCGCTTCCTGTCAGAATTGACCAATCAGAGCCAAGAGGAGAATCTTGGCATTGTCAATCAAGCTTGTGTCTCTGCTGCAGTTGTGGTAATCGTGAAGTAATAACTTAACATTACAGGAAAGCTGACAGAGCTAATCAGACTCTGTTTTGTGTTTATAGTTTTTAAATAATTTACCTGTTGTCCTTTTTACATTTTACTAAGCAGGATAAATTATGACAGCAGTGTCCACTAGGGGGTGGTGTTGTTGCTCTGTGGCCCCGACACTGAGCCTCAGTGTCAGCTGTTATGTGATGTCTGTTTTAGTGATGACAGACACATTTAGCCTTTGCCAGCTTGCCATGGCTCAGAAGCTAAAGCGGTTCCCACTTGGCGTCAGAGAGACCACCTCCCATTGATTACTTGCCAGCATGTAACCAACCCCAGTCTCAAGCCAAGGTCTGTCTGCTAAAAACTCTGCGGGAGTCAAAGAATTACAGTGCCTTGCAAAAATATTCATACCTCTTGACCGCATTTTATCTTGTTGCAGCGAGACTATTTTCTACAAATTTATTTGGAATTTTATCCGATAGACCAACAGAAAGTGGTTTAAAACTGTAAAGTCAAAGTTCAGCCCAAAATTATTCATTTCCCTGGGGATATTTAATCTTGGAAACAAGTTTTTCCTTACTGCAAATAACATACAGTAGGTGTGTGTTAAAATATCAAAGAAAAAAAAATTCTGTTTGATTTCATTTATACATAAAGAGCATGTCATATTGTTTTGCATGGCCACGGTTCTAAGTACGATTGTACTGTGACTACTAACTGCTACCACTGAAAGTGGCTTTTGGTAAGAAGCCAAAAGTGACACATATAGGACTGATGATATGAGAGACGATGAAAAGTCAAAGGATCCAAGCCATCCTGAAGAGTTTGGCCATGCCGGTGACGACATCTTAATGCACACAACCCAGCAGATGCATCAGACTGCTGGTTACCATGGAATCAGACCACAGAGAAAGCCACTTCTCTGAGTAAGGCACATAAAAAATGTGATTACCCAAATTGGGTATGTTAATGCAACCTTGATTTAACAATAAACTGAAGAAACATTAAATCCCAAGAACACCACCTCATTCATCAAGCATGGTGGTAGGAAAGTCATGCTTTGGGGATTTGTTCAGCCAATGAGAAAGGTGATCTAATCAATGTGAAAAAAAAAAAAAAAAAACGACTCCAGAAAGATTCTTAGCAACAACACTGGGCAGACTGTAGAGAAATCTGGGCTTGGGGAACACCAGAGATTCCAACAGGACCATCAACCGAACCAGAGATAAAATGATTAAAACATGCTTAACAGAGAAACAACTGAACATTTTGGAGCAGCCTCGCCAGAGGTGGAGTTCAATCTTACAGAGACGAATGTATCTTTAGATTAGATTGATGGCAAAGAGATGATGTGCTGGTTGAATTAAAAGATGAATTAAACCCTAAACCTGCCCGGGACATAAATAATTAGGCTTATCTGTTACTGAAAGAACAACATATCCCTCAAGGCCTGAGGTAAACTAATGTTGGGCTTTTAGAGAAATCATAAAATCAAAGTCAGTATTTTGTAGTCTTAAGACAGTTGCTTCTGAATATATAAAGCCTTGTTCCTACAAAATATATCACATTGGACTTTTAACACGCCTGAGCTTTAAAACGACTGGAGTACATTCTCCAATTATCCCAAGGATTTCCACACAAATACCCAGTGACACAAATACCCAGACAACCTTTATTTTGCAAAGTCAGTAGAAATATACAGTATTGACAATATAATCTGAAAAATAAGGTGACCGTTGATAAATGCACGGACGAGATGTAAAACACGTTTTTCACATATCAGACACTGGTTGAGCTGCCAGAGAGGAGTTGACACCCTCTATCCACTAGAAAGCGTTTCCTCAAAGACATGGTTTGCTGCGAGTTATCACTGTAAACATGGAGGCGCTTCCCACTCCCACCTGCCTTTAAGTGGGCCAGTGGGGGGCAGCAGAGATGCGCAAGTTGTAGCTGAACTGGCCTTTAGGTCTGCAAATGTAGCAGCAAACCCTTCAGCAAAACTACATGATGAGGCAAAACAAAGAAAAAACAAACTCTGGTTGATAAGTCCTACAGCTGCTGGATGCTTTGAAGGTTAGAACTCCCAGCAAGCCAGAAAAAGTCCTTCACAACAGTCTGGGAAAGCAGTTTCTTCACAGAGATGGCTTTGTCTGGAGGCTAACAGCAATGGTTAGTGAGGAAGGCACAGACAAATTACTGACAGCAAACTGGGAGAACAATACTGAATAAAATGTCTCTGGGTCCCTTTATTTTAACCATATAACCTTCAGACAAAATAATGCAAAAAAAAAAAAAAAAAAAAAAAAAAAAGAAAATCAAATTGCACAAATATAATTTGATTGATACTGTCAGACGAGAACCATCTGCTTTCACACAATCAGAACCGAGCTGTGAGGTGAAAGTGTGTCAGGATGGCCAGTTCAATTTGCACTGAAGGGCTCAGTTAAAGTCTGCTCTCCATGTAGCTTCAGGCACCACCAACTCATCATCAGGCAGTACTTCTGGTACTGCCTGATACTTAAATAAAACTTTTACAAAGTACAACTTCTTACCATATATAATGCCCTGCCTTGTAAAGCTGTGTTAAAAAAGATGAAATGATCTTTTATAGCAGCCAAATAATATCACCCCCCCAAAGAAACAAAAAAACAAAAAAGCTGAAAAATACAGTCCCTTATAAGTGCATTAATTCACTTGGATAAAAATCCCATAATGAGGAATAATTATATTTAATAAAATTAGCAGTGGCAAAATTATTGGTTCTCCAAACATTTATTGTCTACATTCTTGTCATTGGTACTTATTTCAAATGGTGGTTTAGTGAGAGACGTTGAGAAACCTGGCCACATAGTGGTCCATCACTGGACAACGCAGAAACACACACACACACACACACACACACACACACACACACACACACACACACACACACACACACACACACACACACACACACACACACACACCTAAGAACAATTTGGAGAGACTAAGTAACCTGAGAGTCATGCTTTTGAACAGTGGGAGGAAGTCGGAGTACCTGGTGGAAATCCATGCATGCACAGGCAGAACATGCAAACTCCACACAGAAAGACCCGAGGAGTTTTTTTGTTGCCATCAACTGTGTAGATAATTCTAAAAATAGCAACAACAAACAAACAAAAAACCCTCTTTAAATTAAAAGCAACAAACACAATGTCGAAATTCCAACCGTAGTAATTTCTACATTGATCAGAGTACAGAAACTCCAATGAGTTTCAGTTTCTCTAGGGAAAAATATGATGTGACACAAAGGCTAATTTCTTTTAGCTGGCAGGCAGAACAAGGAGCCAGAAAAACGTGACATTCTGGCTCCATGGCAACCATCAGTTTTGGAAAGGTGCCAGAAAAAAAAAACCTTCCTGTCTTACATCAGAAAACGTAAACACGTAGAGTACGCTGGGATTTAATCAGATTGGTTTCAGTAACAAGTACGGTGAATGCTCTGTGTTGCTGTGGGCCCATGTTTTTGTTTCAAGGCACTGAGAACTTTTGTTAGACAGAAATCGTGAACAGATGCTTTCATCTTTCAATGCTTTCAAGTTTGGTGGCTTCCAGCGTCAAACTTAATCTGAGTCGTCCAAATATTGTGCCACTGAGGAAGTTGTAAAAACAATTATTCCTCAGAGAATTTACTTTAAGGCTGAATAAACACACTTTACATTAGAAATTTTAGTTGTCTACATTCTTCTGTGATGATATGCTGCTGCACTGGAACAATTTATGATAATAATTTTACACATCTGTACTAGAATGACATTTCCTATATCCACTAAATTTTCCATGCTGGAACAAGAGAAATTACTCCATAAACAAACACCTACAAAAATGATCAAGAAGGAATAAAAACACTTTCACACATGTCATTGTTTAAAGAGTTTGGGTAGCTTGTAACGACCCATAATCACAAAGTCTAACTGAAACTTCCACTGGAAGTAAAGACTTATGTCTCAAAAATGTAAACTGAAAAATACTGAATGCCACATGACATATGTCAGCCAGTGCTGGGAGGCTAATCCTTGCTGGGGGTGTCCATGGTACCATTCCTTGGATCAAAAATGGCCGCCTTCACACCTTCCTCCTCATCACTAAAGAAAGGAGGGAGAAAAAATAAAAATGTTTAAGCAGTTTTATCAGATCTTTGGAGCAAAACTTTTTCTGCTGCTATTTTTATTTGATCACATGCAGCACCTTGAATCAATCGTTGAAATAATCGTCAACTAATTTAGCAATCGATTAATCATTAACTGGAGTATTGAGACTCAAAAGGCCATTTGCTGAAAGAACAATTAACTCAGAGTGATTAGGAAGATAACACTATAGAAAACAATCTATGTTTTGCATTTAAGATTGAAAAAACCCCAACTTATTTTACCTAAAACTCAAGAGGCCTAGTTTTAATCCCACATCACCTGAACAGAAGAGTAAAACCTATGAAGTCAGACCTGAGGCTTTCTCCCTCCACATCCTCGATTGTATCTGGTAGAGGCTTGTTGGCCGTCTCAGGCAGCAGCAGGGTCAGCCCAGCGCCCAGCAGCGGGCACAGGCCAGAGATGATCATGGGAGCATGAGGATTGATGTTCCTCAGTAGGTACATCATTGGAGCCAGGACACCACCGATCCGCGCACACATGGAGCCTATACCAATCCCATTTTGCCTGTAGATCAGAGCAGTGAGGGAGCAGACAGTCCGGTTAGACATGCTGCCCACGTTTTCCATCAGTAGATTTTCATTAGGAATATCTCTCAAAATAGAAGTGAGCTAACTGGAAGAGTCGGTGTCAGTGCATGTTAGAGTTGTAAGATTGTGGTTCAGCACAAGAAACAACAAAAAAAAAAACAACAACTAATAATCTTGACTCTACAGTCTACAGCAGTGCACAAATAAAAAAATAAACATTTTTAAAAATAGTCTGATTTTCAATTTATTTTTCATTGTTGAAGTACTTAAATCAGTGGATAGTAGTAAACTGAAAATTTGTTTCGATTTTTCTTCCACAAATAAATGTCAACATTGGAAATAAATATTAGCCATCAATATTGACCCAGTTGTTAGTGCCGTTGTATTAGTAGTTTACAGCACATTTGAATTGCTTTATATTCAATACAGAGTCAGACTCATCCCTCAACGCACCTTAAAAGTTCAGCTTTAAATAAAAGTTTTATTTGATAACCAGAAAACAGAAAGACACACATGAGTACATGGCCCATCCTCTCACAGGGAACCCAGGCAAATATTGGCTCCTGTGGTGTTTTAGGCTCTCTGAATGCTGCTGCAAGGCAGTACTTTAACTGATCTTTCTTAAGTATCAGTGGTGTTTGCATTTGGCTTGAAGTTTTTCCGGGGACCTCTGTAGGCCCCTGGTATGTCAACACTGAGGTAAGACAGCAATACGGCTGAAAGGTTCCCTTGATAAGGAAGATATAATGTGAATAAATTTTAACTGACATTTGCAGGTAATAAAAACCTGGACACACTTTACTGGCTTAAATAGTAAGAAGAAAACCACATGCCCACATCATGACTCCTCCACCACCATGCTGTACAGCTCATACTAAATACTTATACTTTTATGTGTTTAGTTTTCTTCCAGTGGACTGATGAACAGAATTACTAAACAAAAAAAAAAAAAAAACACCTCATAGCCGAGCTGCCATAAACGTTTTTCATTTCAACTTCTCCAAAACAGTTCCCATTAAGTAAAGACTGAATGGACCGGATCAAATGGCTGTGTGAGCATCTGGTTTCTCTTACAACACACTGACAGGTGGCTGTGTTTCAACATAAACCCTAGACGGCAGTGTTAAAACAGATTAAGTTCGCTGAGCAAGGGTTTTAGGATCTTTTTCCCCCAAACAACACCCAGAAATGCATTGCAGAGCAACACCCACCTGATCACTGTTGGAAATATTTCAGCTGAGTAGACATAAATGATAGATAGAGAGGCTGTAATGCCAAACTTCCCGATCATGGCCAGGACCGTTCGGACAATGGGTAGGTCTAAAGAAAAATAAAAAGACACTACAGGTTGTCACCACTCAAAAACACTGTTTTAAAGGACTTATCTTTCTTTTTCTAATTTGACTCGACAAATTAAGTAGAGTCTGTTTTCATTGTGTCTACGTACTGCTGGGGATGCAGGTGGTCAACAGGCAGGCAGAACCTCCCACTGCTAGGAAAGCCAGCTGAGAGAACTTGCGTGAGCGGTTGAGGGTGAACAGTGTGATGGTGCGTGCCGGCATCTCCACCAGGCCAAAGATCATCTGGGTCAGGTAGATGTTCATTCCGAAGTCGGAAATGTTGAGGGACAAGCCGTAGTACACCAGGACGTTGACGAACCTGGAACATGAAGGATGACGTTAGGGCGCTTCTTTGTGACCAGTGAACAGAAAGACACGCATTAGTACATGGCCTCATTCTAGATGGAGATTGTTCCAAAATGACATAAAGTCATGTGCTTAGATTCTGGCGGTTAAGCAAGTGTTTGTTGCTTTCATGTCTGTTGCTCTGTTTTATGTTTCTGTGGTCTAACTAAGAGCAATTGGAACATTTTAAGAGGTTGTTTTATCAGCCAGTTCAGAATATTTCAAATCTTATGTCATTTTCCAGCTGGATATCGTCTTCTGGACCTGATCAGTTCTTACTGCAGCTTAGGATCATTGGAGTTTCCTGAGTGCTCATCTAAAACATCCCACAACCATTGTGATTGAATTATTTATGGATTGTTAGAAGATGTTTCTCTTGGAAGGGGTTTGATTCCACTTTTCACCATAGCAGTGTTTTTGGACAGACCTGCCAGGAGAACCAGCGCCACATGAGCTTGGATCAGGATAGTTCTGTTGCTAGGCTTCATCTTTCCTTCTCTGGGTAAATGGGTCTTTATTCTTTTGTTATTTTCTAATAGCAGGGTTTCTTTGTTGGAAAAAAAACTTGTGGTTCTCATTTTATTCAAAATGTCATTCCTAATATGACCACAGGATGGCAACAGAGAGGGAAATTATGAAACCCTACATGTAAGAACTTTCATAAGCGTATTTTGTAAGTTTTTTTTTGTGGCTTTCATAAACAGTGGTTTATTCAACTACTGGTTTGGTAATTTTGCTATTTCATTCTCCTTCATAATGCAGAGGGGAAAAGTTTTAATCCAAATCAAATATAAAAAAGGCATATTACACAAAATCTTCCTCATTTTTCTTGATAATGTTGTAATTTTGAAAGTAAGCAATGTCATACTTTCTATTAAAGATATTACATAGTGTAAGAACAATAGCAACCCATGATCAGTTGAAGCTCATTCTGCCAGATGACTGATTGTCACATCAAGATCGTAGAATCCAAATTTAGAGCCTGAAATTGAAGCTACTTTTTTCTTTTCATTCAGGCTTCATTCATTTCCAAAAGCAGTTCTTGCTCTTTTTCTCTTTGAGCAGCACATTCTGTGATATTATCATAGAGAATAATATAGTAAATTATAACTCAGCTAAAATGTTTTTTTCAGTTTACTAATTTCTCTACATGATATTAAATTATGAGTTTTGATGTTCAGAGAACAACAATCTGCCTGGTTATGCATGAGTCATTAGTGGGCGTGGCAGAGAAACCCCAGGGCTTTCTGGCACCAAATGTTCTGGCACCAAATGTTGCTAAATGTGGCACATTTTGTGTCACATTTAGCAACATTTGGAAACAGTAAAGATGACAGAGTTACATTTAGACTGGTTTTATTTGGAGCTTACTGTGTAAAGAAGGTCTTTCTGCAGCTCAGAATTCCCATTTTGACAGCTGAACAAAGGGACGTTTCAAGGCACAACCAAACCTTGGGATGGAAGCATTCCACTCAGTGGAAATAACCATTGAGTGACTTTGTTTTTCCAACTTTTCTTAGCAGGATTTATTTATTTTTAAAGTAATCTTAAAAGCACCAGTTTGTGTTTTGAGTTTCGACTGAATTATATGCAAAGAATTATGCCAATCTGAATGTGTCATCTGTGTAAAGACAGAACGCAGGTCACAGGAAAGTTTTTGCAGCCCTGTCACTTCCCGCCTGCTGCTCTGATGAGTGTTTCACAGATACTCTGTTTGACTTGACAGAGAGGTAAAGGAACAGGCTGTGAGGAAAGAGATACAATGATCCAGATCTTAGTTAACTAGATGGGATGCCAGGTGTGATATCTGGTTCACTTGTGAACACCTAAAAGTCTACAGTAACAAGCTTTGGCTTACAAGTTGTATCTTCCTGGGAAACTGGTTCTTTCTGAAGCTTTGTGAGAACAGGTCTGGCACGTTGAGACTGTTCACTTCTGTTTACTATAAGTACTCAGAGTTACACATCTGAAGTAGTGCCACAGAGCATCCAGTGGATTCTACGACAGAGCATGTAGTTAGTCTTACCAAACATTATGCTGGCTAACTGTTCCAACACTCACTGTCCATGAAAGTGATATTGGATGGAATTATATGAGTTGAATTGCAGGTCACTGGATATGAAGTAGGCCTGCTTATCTTTGCACCAAGCGTATTTCAACTTTCCATTACTGAAATTACATTATTTCAGTAATGTAACGTTTCTTTTAATGAGAACTTTGACAGTTTCTCAGGCTGCAAAGAATTATACAGTGCTCGCGATCAGCCCTAAAGATGGCAGCTTATTGTTCCTGAGCTTACAAGGCAGATGAATTTGCCTAAACAATCATTTGCTCATGGTATGAAAGCTAACAGAGCTCCACTTGTTGCTTACTCAAGTTTGAAGGCTACAGTTGCATTTTCCATTAAAAATCTCCCAGCAGGCAGAAAACAAAACTCAGGTAGCTCGACCAGCTAATAGCGAGGTAGCTAATTGGCTAAATTAACTGACAGAAATATGGGGAGGTCAAGAAACCTTGGAGTTGTTGGGAACTTGAAAACCACATAAGGTCTGTTTCTACATTAGATGACTTCATCTCAACACAGCCAGAATAAAACAGGTTTCCTGACAAAAACAAGACACAGAAGGACTAGTGTTGAATCCTGAGCAACATCAGAAAAATAGATCATATAAGAACCATGTTGATGCCTCAGCTCTTCAGAGTTTCCAGAACCAGATGTAAACTCAGTCAGGCAACATTTAGTTTCTTTGCTCCTCAGCTCTGGAACAAACTCCCTGAAAACCTGAGATATACATAAACTGTTGATTCCTTTAAATCAGGATTGAAGTCTGGATTTGAGTCAGATATATATCTAAAATTAAACTTCAGTCTAAACTTTGATTTAAATTAGCCTTCGCTCCAGGAAGCAGACATTATAGTCAGCAGGCAATTATTCTATACTTTTGCCAAAATCTTTGCTCAAGATCAAAATAACAATAAATATCAAAGATAGCATTTTTAGTTCATTCTTACTGTAAAACTCTTGCAGGGGCAGCAGGAGTGATAATTTCCTTTTCTGAAAAAAAGGAAGTAGCTTGATGTTTGTGTGAATCTCCTGTTATAATATGTTAAAATATTATTTTTAACCACAGTTGTCATCCAGTGAGGATCTCATACCTGCTAAAGATCAGGGATGTTTTTCAGAATAAATAAAGTGTTTCTCACCCAGCCAATGTGTGCTCAGTTCTGTCTGATCTACTGTTGACTAAGACTTGCTTCGACGACTGTTCAGAGTAATTTGGAATCAAGTTTCAGTTTGTATGGTGCAGATGGTGCAGGGCTTATGGGGTTCATGCAACCAGTAAAGAACCTGTCTGTGGCAAACACTCACAATGTTTTGGAACTAAATTCAAACTCAATTAACTTTTTGGCTCATGTAGTCTTGAAATTAACAAAAGTTTCCACGTTTGCTTATTAGGATTTTATGAGGCAAAATACCACAGAATGCAAAAGTTCAGCAAATACAATAGAACATATTGTCAACTTTCTAAAATAATAGCTTAAGTCTTTTTTTTTTTTTTTTGCCAGAAGTGTTTTTTGTCTAAAACATTTTTTGGAAACATGGCAAAAAAATGACTTTACTTTAGGAAGGCAATGTTACTAAGTGTGACAAAAGCAGCTTCTAGATTATTAAAAATGACTATAACTCTGCAAACTTTTTATGTCTTTTTAGAGAAATGTGAAGCAAAAACTAAAAAATGAATCAAAATTGGTGAAACCCAAAAGAAGGGCATTTTCTGTCTGTGCTCTACTCTCTCTGTTGGTTCTGTCACTTTGACTTGTTTTGCTACTGCTCTTTTGCACTGAATCTGTTGGTTTTCCTGCAGCGGTCCAGAACCTGACCCAGTTGGGGGAAAAAGCGAGTAGATGGGAGATGCTTCCAGACTGAGAGGAATGTTGGAAGGTCATAAAACTCCAAGAGCTTCCTTCTCTTTTTCACAGCGGAGCCAGAGAACGCCTGCTGTTTGGCTGGAAAACTAAAATGCAGAAGAGACTGAAATATTAGTTCATGTCCAGAAGAAAGCTTCTAATGCAAGGTCAAATATGAACTTTCCAACATTTATAATTTATTCCTGTCTGTTTGATATGAATAAAATTACTGTATTATAGTCTGGTTGGTTAGAAGCCACGCCTGTAAAACCAAGAATTTGTGTGTGAAACCAAGAAGTTGTTTGGTAAGCAGAAAAACATCCTGCTGGTGGTGGGACATTCCTGTCTGCTCAACATGCTGAATGCAGACGGAACAAGGAAAAATGATAAGAGGCAAAAAGTATCACAACATCGCTGCTTTTTACCATCAGAAATAAATATTCTGTTTCCTCAGAACAACCCAAGAAAGCAAATATAGAGATATATACCGAGATCACACAGCAAAAGAATATTCACGCACATCTTGTGAAATATTTAATTTGTCATCTTGCAACCATATTTCACTAATGAAATTATTTCTATGACAGTTATTGCTTTCTCTCGGCACCCTGCTGTTTTCAAGCTCAAGTTACAAAACTGTTTGCTGCCAAGTGAATGGAGAGCTTGTTAGCGTAGAGTATAGAGGCAAGATAGAGAGAGAAAATATGTGACCCAGTTAGACAGAAATCACTCTCTGGTCCGATCGTGCAGCACACCGTGGCACAACGCTCTAAAGCGTGTCAGATCCATCGGCTTATCCATCCATTCATTCATTCTTCTTTTAGGCTTCTAGTTATAATACACTCGCTAATTATAATACTAGTGTAAACCTAAAATCCACGTTTCTTGTATATACAGGAAACGTTTAGGTATGAGTTTTAACATCAGAGCAGATGTGACATGAAAAACTGGTTCTGTTCTGTGACCACTGGGATCCAAACAGCCGTGGTTCTGAGCTGTGGGAGGAGCCTGGAGTACCCAGAGAGAACATGCAAACTAAATGCAGACAGAGCCTGGACTGTCCTGCTGTTAGGCAACAGAGTTAGTATCTGCTCCACCATGCAGCCAGGGAGGAAGGAAGTCAATCACAAGATGTTTCCTTCCCTAGGTAAGGCCTCTGATAGAGAGAGACACTTCAATCCAAATGGAACAATTAGAGAAATACAGTTATTAATTATTCAGAAATATTTCATGAATGAAGCTAAAATATAAAAGTCTGTAAAAAACGGAAAGTAGCTTAATAAAAAAGTCACAAAATAAAACACCATTATGAAATGAATAATTCACAATAAGTAAATAAATAAATGTGGAAACAAATACATTTCAAAATAAATAAAAAAATAGTTAAAAAGTTAAATTCTATTTGAAAATATTTTTTTATTATTATTATTTAATGGAATCATGTATTTCTTTCATGGAATACTTATTGTCAATATTTATTTACTTATTTTTTCCATTTTGAATGAAACAGCTCTGCTTTGACTTGTTAAAGATCTCAACACTACAGGAGAAAAATAACAACAGGTCTGTGTCACTCCAGGAAGAAGTGAGGACTCGGAAACAAACAGATGTTTCAAACACTTTACACGGTCTGGCAGAATACCAGAGGATGTTTTTATTTATTTATTTTTTTAACAATTTTTCTAAAAGAAAATGAATGATCACATGGGAATGCTTCCTTCCTCTTCCAGGAGGCTTTTTATTTCAAGTAACTAAGTTTGCTTTCTTGAAATTAGAATGAAAAGAGAAATTTTCCATCGATACAGACAGAGATCAGCAGCAGGGAGGTGGGATATGTAGCCTACTGGCATTCTGAATTAGTTTTTATAAAGTTAAACCTGATGGACCTGTCTGTTCTCAGTTTACACTGACAACAAACCAGAAATGCTGCTCCAACACGCAGACTCCTGGATTAGCATTCTGAGCATTTCAACAACTTAACATTCTTGCAGTAAACTGGGTAAGACAAGAAGTCCCCTGCTAGAATTTCCTGCACAGATGGAAATATATATTGTAATCTATACTGCAGTCTATAACATCCTCCTAACACTCGCCACGCAAAGCTTTTGTGGAAAACCACTAAAGCAAATATTCAACAGTAAGTGAGTTACTGTTTACTCATCTGACAGGAGCGGTGCGCTTGCATCTTGATATCTCCAAAACAAGATATGTACATACATTGGCAAACCTTACAAAAACTTTAATGATAGCTGAAAAACTTTCAGTATTCAAGATGCATTAAAAACTGATTCTGTTTTGTGACCACTGAGGTTACACAAAAGGAAACACAAAAGAAAACAAAATCCCCCCATGACCCTTAGAGGTCTCTGAAGTTTTCTCTCTAACAAGGTCAGAAATATTATTTTCAGTATGGTTTTCTATTGTTTCTGACTTCGACGCAACCAACAATAAACTCCTTAAACCATGACAAGTTTGAGACAATCTAAAAGGTGTCTCAAACACCTTTCAGATTGCCTTGGACCTGACCCGACCTTGTCTGGTTTGGTTTGGGTGTACAGTGTCCCGGTTTTGATCAGACCAAGGCTGTTTCAGATAAATCCTTCTATAGAGGAGATAAAGAGGTAAAGTTCTGTGAGTACTCACCAAAGATAAAAGACGATCAGGGACTGCTTCCTCATTGTCGGGGTTCGAATGAGGTCAACCAGGGAGTGTTTTTTCTTCAGCTCGGTTTTCTCTTCAGTCAGATTAACCTGGTGAAGAGACAGACGGGGGTCGGCTGAAACATCCAGCTCTCAGAATGGTTTGCATGTTCAAATGAGAGTCTGTTATCAAACGAATGTATTCAAAGTCAGAACAGAAGCCACTATTGGGTACAGTAGTAGTGCCACATGGTGAACCAGCCGTCGCTACAGCAACACTGTCAAGCGTATGCTGCTGATTTATGTTTGTTAGCAGTTTATTTAGGTCATCTTCTCTAATGGATCTGCCTCATTTCATGAGCTTCCACTCTGCAGCCCCGCTGAGTGAATGCACAGACTATGTCTGGACTGGGAATGTAACCCGAGCAGAACCAGATTCACACACGTGTGTGTGTGTGTGTGTATGCGTGTGTTTGTGCGTGTGTGTGTGGGTGTGTGTGTGTGTGTGTGTGTGTGTGTGTGTCTCGACTGGAAATGGTCAGGTACTGCTGGTCACAGGCAAACTGGCAGAATTGATCACATAGTAAGCACAGTTTGCTCATAAATCAAAGATGAACCGAGTTGGGGCATAAAATGACATGGTGTAGTGGGAGTGTTGTGGTGGCACAGGGGCAAAGCACGACCCACGTATGGAGGCCTTAGTCCTCGCAGCGGAGATCGCAGGTTCGATTCCCGGCCTGCTGACATCTGCTGCATTACCCTGTTTCCTCTCAAACTACTATCACATAAAGAAATACATGGTGGATTTAGTTTATGGACCAATCTGGTGGTGGATTTATTTGGAGCAGATATTTGAATTGAAATAAATGTTCTGTCAGAATGAAGTCAGAGATGTTTAGGATAATAGCAGCGCCCCCTCTGGCAGAGAAAATTTGCCTGTCTGACTCTGGAATATATTCAGTGGAAAATTACCTGCCTGAATTAATTTATTTTTTTTGTTTGTGTAAGCAGAAGAACGATTGGTTCTGTTGAGAAAACGCTACAGCAAACATTTGGCTGAGCTAAAAAAAAAAAAAGAAAGAAGAGGGAGGGAGGCTAACCATCGCCTGATGTGGAGGAGAGAACCAGATGTTTCAAACACAGGACACATTTCTGACTATTCACACTAAACTCTGATAACTCCAGGGTAGAAAGTGTCATTCTGAAGATGTTCTCTCTTTTCTCCCACCTCTGAATTTTTGCTCTCATTTTCACAATTACACCTTTCTATGGAGTTCGCTGTGAATTGAAAATTGGTTCTGTGACAGAATCAATAGCTATAGTTTTATTGTGAAATCGTGCCTTTTAATTTTCGACTGGGCTTTATCTTCTACTCTTAAAGGGGCAATATTATGTGAAATCAATTTCTTTGAGTTTTGCATCATGTTACAATGTTATTCCCTCATTAAAATATGCCTGGAGTATTACTGTGATTCTTTCAAACATATTTAAGAAATCCTTTGATCTCCATGGTGTACAAAATGCCAGCTGCTTCAGACTAGCCAGAAGCAATTAGCAAATACCAGGTGGAACTCTGCATCAGCTGAGTTCATCATAGGAGTTACTTCTTTGTGCAGCACTGGTAAAAACTTTGTTGAAGGGTTAATAGAGGAGCCATGTTGTGATGACTTCCTAAAGGTGGAGTTTCAGAAACAGCAGGAGATTTTAAAGAGACAGAGGCTCAATTTCAAATTGTGTTAAATTACAAAGTAAAATTTCTTTTAAATCATGTTTGATATAAACAGCATTTACTTCTCCAGTGCCTTTAATACAATCCAGCCCCTTCTGCTCCAGGACAAACTAAATAGCATGGGAGTGGACCAGCACCTGGTCACCTGGATCCATAGTTACCTCACCAACAGGCCGCAGTATGTCAGGCTAAAGGACACCGTGTCTGACACTGTGGTCAGCAGCACAGGAGCCCCTCAGGGCACAGTGCTGGCCCCTCTTCTCTTCACCCTGTACTCCTCTGACTTCCACTACAACTCGGAGCTGTGTCACATACAGAAGTATGCTGACGACACAGCCATAGTCGGATGTATCAGGGACGACGGAGAGGAGGAATATCGCTGTCTGGTGAGGGACTTTGCTCTCTGGTGCCACACAAACCACCTGGAACTCAACACCTCTAAGATGAAGGAGCTGGTTATAGACTTTGGGAGGTCCAGACCAAAGCCGAGACCAGTCGTACTAGAGGGAACGGAGGTTGAGGTCGTGGACTCCTACAAGTACCTCGGGCTGTGGCTGGACAGTAAACTGGATTGGTCAAAACACACCAGCCACCTGTACGGGAAGGTGCAGAGCAGGATGTACTTCCTGAGGAGACTGCGGTCCTTTAACATCTGCAGCAAACTGCTGTGGATGTTCTACCAGTCAGTGATCGCCAGTGTCCTCTTCTACACCGTGGTGTGCTGGGGAGGCAGCACATCCAAGAAGGACACGTCCAGACTGGACAAACTGATCAGGCGTGCCGGCTCTGTGGTCGGCATGAAGCTGGACTCTCTGGTGATGGTGGCAGAGGCGAGGACACTGAACAAACTGCTGAACATTATGGACGATAGCAGCCACCCTCTACATGCCGTCATCAGCAGCCAGAGGAGCCGGTTCAGTGAGAGACTGCTGCTTCCCACGTGCCGGACCAATAGATTCAAGAACTCCTTTGTCCCCCACGCCTTCAGACTGTACAACTCCTCACTGGGGGGTCGGAGGTGACACAGGACAGAGGGAAGAAGGAGTAGTTTTTCTACAAATGTGAACTCCATATTTATCAGGCCAAACTGATAAATAACAGTTTGGCCTGTTATTTATCTGTCGGTGGTCAATCTATCCACCAAATTGCTATAATTTCCTTTTGTGTTGTATTTATATTCTTTGTTTTGTATTTAATTTGTATTTTTTTGTATTCTTTTGTGTATGCTTACTGTGTGCCACATTTTGCCTGTGAGCTGCTGGTAACTATAATTTTCTGAGGGAGTCTTCCCAAGGGATCAATAAAGTCAAGTCTAAGTCTAAGTCTCTAAGTCTAAAAACTGAAAGTCACATAGTTACTTGACTGTGCTATAAATTGGCATTTATGTGGCTGGAAAATACATAATACGGTCCCTTTAACTACTAAACAAGACCTAGATGGAGGTGGCTGAAGTAGGAGATGTTATTGCAGTAAGAGGTGTTATTGCAGTAAGAGGTGTTACTGCAGTAAGAGGTGTTACTGCAGTAGGAGATGTTATTGCAGTAAGGTGTTACTGCAGTAAGAGGTGTTATTGCAGTAGGAGGTGTTATTGCAGTAAGAGGTGTTACTGCAGTAGGAGGTGTTATTGCAGTAGGAGGTGTTATTGCAGTAAGAGGTGTTACTGCAGTAAGAGGTGTTACTGCAGTAGGAGATGTTATTGCAGTAAGAGGTGTTATTGCAGTAGGAGGTGTTATTGCAGTAGGAGGTGTTATTGCAGTAGGAGGTGTTATTGCAGTAAGAGGTGTTACTGCAGTAGGAGGTGTTATTGCAGTAAGAGGTGTTATTGCAGTAGGAGGTGTTACTGCAGTAGGAGGTGTTATTGCAGTAAGAGGTGTTATTGCAGTAGGAGGTGTTATTGCAGTAGGAGGTGTTATTGCAGTAAGAGGTGTTATTGCAGTAGGAGGTGTTAAGGCAGTAAGAGGTGTTACTGCAGTAGGAGATGTTATTGCAGTAAGAGGTGTTATTGCAGTAGGAGGTGTTATTGCAGTAGGAGGTGTTATTGCAGTAGGAGGTGTTATTGCAGTAGGAGGTGTTATTGCAGTAAGAGGTGTTATTGCAGTAGGAGGTGTTATTGCAGTAGGAGGTGTTATTGCAGTAAGAGGTGTTACTGCAGTAGGAGGTGTTATTGCAGTAAGAGGTGTTACTGCAGTAAGAGGTGTTACTGCAGTAGGAGGTGTTATTGCAGTAAGAGGTGTTATTGCAGTAGGAGGTGTTATTGCAGTAGGAGGTGTTATTGCAGTAAGAGGTGTTATTGCAGTAGGAGGTGTTATTGCAGTAAGAGGTGTTATTGCAGTAGGAGGTGTTATTGCAGTAGGAGATGTTATTGCAGTAAGAGGTGTTATTGCAGTAGGAGGTGTTATTGCAGTAGGAGGTGTTATTGCAGTAAGAGGTGTTATTGCAGTAGGAGGTGTTATTGCAGTAGGAGGTGTTATTGCAGTAGGAGGTGTTATTGCAGTAAGAGGTGTTATTGCAGTAGGAGGTGTTACTGCAGTAGGAGGTGTTATTGCAGTAGGAGGTGTTATTGCAGTAGGAGGTGTTATTGCAGTAGGAGGTGTTATTGCAGTAGGAGGTGTTATTGCAGTAGGAGGTGTTACTGCAGTAGGAGGTGTTATTGCAGTAAGAGGTGTTATTGCAGTAGGAGGTGTTATTGCAGTAAGAGGTGTTACTGCAGTAGGAGGTGTTATTGCAGTAAGAGGTGTTATTGCAGTAAGAGGTGTTATTGCAGTAGGAGGTGTTATTGCAGTAGGAGGTGTTATTGCAGTAGGAGGTGTTATTGCAGTAGGAGGTGTTATTGCAGTAGGAGGTGTTATTGCAGTAGGAGGTGTTATTGCAGTAGGAGGTGTTATTGCAGTAAGAGGTGTTATTGCAGTAGGAGGTGTTATTGCAGTAGGAGGTGTTATTGCAGTAAGAGGTGTTATTGCAGTAGGAGGTGTTATTGCAGTAGGAGGTGTTATTGCAGTAGCAGGTGTTACTGCAGTAGTTGTTATTGCAGTAGGAGGAATCTCTGTTTAGACAAGAAATGCTCAGAAAAAAAACCTCTGGGGACACTGAAAAAACAAACCAGGTGTCATTGCTGTATTGTGTCTAAAATGTGAAGTGAAAGCAGGGGACTTGAGAGCTCACCCAATTTTGCTAAACTATATGAAAGTCTTCTCTCTGAAAACATATAAGTTTGGTGACGAGTTTTATAAAAAGAAAACTTTGTTTACGGCTCCCTTGTCCTTCCCTTTTGGATCAAAACCACTAGATGCTAATTTGAGCTAAGGCTAACGTTGGCAGCTGAGCACCAAACTGCTGCCATTAGCCACTAGTTGTTCAGTCCAACAAACCAAAGTCATCTCTGGCCATTTGAAGCAGCAGCGTTAAAGGAAATGTGGATCCACACTATGCCTGTGTGTCATTTACTTCTGCTGTATGTTTTCATTTATCGAAGCAGTGAGCGTTGACATGACATCACATGTTGCTCTGGTTTTTTGCTACATGTGGCTTTGAGAGAGGAAACCCCAGTACACTGGGATGCGTCGTTCTCTCTCTCTCTGCTCCTCCTTTTGATTTGAAATCCTGCAGTTCAGTGTGATCTACTAACTGATACATTTGCAAAGAAGGAAGCTAATACACACATCACATGAGTGAGGGAGTGCTTAGTCATCATTGTGGATTATAAAGTTACACAATCTGACACCACAAAAGGAAGAAAAACTTCCTCCTTGGATTAAAAACATGTCGCCAGTTCTGTTGTTTTTAATTTGTGGAATGAACAAAATGTCTTAATTGTTACTGAAATGCAGCGTGACACTCCTTGAATGTTTTCACATTGTTATTTTACAACAAACTTCCTTGTAATCTAATGGGTTCTAATTTCATTCACCAATACAAACTTGTGCAGAATTGCACCGTAAAAGAAAAGCAGAGAGTGATTTTCAAAACCTCATAGTGTTACATATAGAAATCAGACAAGTGGTGTTTGTTCACTTGTAAAATCTCCACATAGCTTTGTACATCTAGAGACTGAAATGATCCTGTTTGCAAAACCCTGCATGCTCAGATTGGATGAAGAACATCTGTTAGCATCAGCTTTTAACTATTGGTAAAACAATTGCTTCTCCATCATTACCACAGCTGCAGCAAACAGGCAAATTTGCGTACAGAAGTCTGATTAACTTCAGTAAGACCTCCTGACTCTGATTGGTTGTTTCTGACTGATTGTTGTATTTCTGCAGATGGTAGTAGGAACACAGCGAGATGGCAGAGGGATCAATCTTTTCACAAATTATCTGTCTTATGTTGTACTGTCACAACAAGGTGACAGCTTTACCAAATATGAAAAAAAATCCATAAAAGTTACCTACTGCAACTTTAATAGAAACATTTCCAATCCAAGAAAACAAACAAACAAACAAACAAAAAACAAGGAAAAGCGCTTCTAATAAAAAAGGCGGGACTGGCTACAGTTGGTAATTTCTCAGCGCGGGCTGTGACACATTTTATGTCAGCATTCTGTTTACATAAAATGAATTGTGACTCTGGTGGAAGGAAGAATCACAAAAGCTACATTCCTACCTGACACATCTCCATGTCCTTACTGATGGGCTTCCCATTCATCTTAGCCGCCTTCTGGATCACGTCCCATGCTTCCTCCTTCCTGTCGTTGGCCATCAACCAGCGGGCCGACTTCGGCAAAACCCTGGAAGGAAAGACACTCTATGTCAAACATTTATCTTAAACATTACCTCAAAGTCCTTTAGGGCATTTTCTGACTGACTTGTTCCAGAAACGAACACCTTTACTGGAAGGAAGCCATTACTCCATTTATCTCTTTCTCTCTCTCTGTTTTTGCATATGTCAAATGTAAATGAGAATCATAAATAACTTGCATGGCAAGAGGCATGCGAGGCAACCTCAGAGAAGGTCAGCACATTTTCCTCTGGTCTGAGAAATGCCTTGTAGACAGAGAATGAATCGCCATAATTCACAGAAAACAAGTCAGACAATCATCTTCTGTTTTTTTTATTTTCTATGCTTGTGCAGACTGCAGCCCACTCACCAAACGTAGACGATGAAGAGGAAGCCAGGTGCAGATATAGCCAGCTGCAGCTTGCGCCAGTCCCTTATGAGGTACGCCACCCCGGCCAGGAGGATGTACCCGAATCCGAAGAAGTAGTCTGTGATAATCCCGGCCAGCATGCGCTGTCTCAGCCCCGTCCATTCAGTACCTGGGATGAAGGGACTGATGAGCACACAGCGAAGCATGCGCTGACCTCTGAACCTTCACCAGTGGTTCTCAGTTCTGATCATCAGGGAGAACTATTCTGTGTGTTTTAGATGTGTCTCTGCTCCAGAATACTTGATTCAAATGGCAGCATGACCTCCTCTGCAGATGTTAGGGTGTTGTACTATCTGGTAGTCCAGTAGACTCAGTTTGATTGACATGTTACATTTTCAGGTAGTGAACTTTGCTTTCACACTGCACTTGTCAAACGATCCAAACCTTTTGAAAAACTAGTTCCCCACCCTCACCTGTGGGGGCGCTGCACCAAGAACCACTGAAGGAACGACATGAAATACTCAGAAGGCAACACAGAGCGCAACTTCTTTCTTTATGAAATGTAAACAAAATGGAGTGGTGACAGATTTTAGCACTTAGTATTTTCTATTTTGGCAAAAAAAAAAAAAAAAAAGAAAAAAGAAATTAACCCATTCCTCCTGCTAGCGCTAGTTTCTCATGTTTGTTTTGTTGTATTTACCCAGAATGCCCTGTGGTGTAGTGCACTTCCTGCTTTTAAAGCAGTCTCCAATTCGCTTGGTGATTCACATATTTATTCGAACAGCACCAGAGTTCACTTCAACCAAATCAGGAAACATAGTTTTAGGCGAACAAAACTTTGCTTTATTGTTCTGCATTATATTTTGATTGCACTCTCACGCAAATGAAGCAGACTTTCGAGGCAAAGGAACTGGAGTTTGATTAAAATGGACTAAACAGCATACGTGTGAATGCTCCCTAAATCACTCTGATTCAGGTCAGGTGTGTGGCAGAAAGCAAACATCTAAAAGTTATATGGCAGTGGCTCCTGAGGACTGGAACTAAGAAACCATTACCTACACAATGACATCTAGCCAATTTTCAAACATACTCCTTGCCAAACTCTTGGTTCTTGCTATTTTTGACAGAGACCAACCCATTGACCTCACTAATAAACCTGTTGAGTCTCAGTCTGACCCCTGAGACCCCAGGTTACACCCCACAGCACATAGACAGTCCAAAAAAAAAAAAAAAACACCCCAGTGCCAGAAACACAAAAAGGTCCTGAGACTGTGACCCAAAATGTCATGGATTCATGGTTGAGTTCATGGCTGACAACATTAGATCAGTAATTTTAGTCTTCATAACATCCACATTTGTTAAAGCAAATTCATTTGCTGTTCTAAAACATTTCTCTGGAGGTTACTATGCTACAGCATTGATATAAAGAGGAACAATTTGTTCAATGTTGGTTTAGAATAGCACTAGTTTGGAATGCTGATTGCGTTGGTTGGTGTCTATAGTTATCTATGATGTACATAGGAAGAATCAGCAGAGTTCTGGAACATCTTATCGTGGGTTAACCTTGTAGGCGTCATCAAGGATTTGTTCTCTTTAAACGCACCAAGTAAACTTTGCCTCTAGAAAGAAGAAAAGGAGAAAATTTTCCTCTTCAATGGGCCACACATTATCTCTGAAGATTGTCAACAATACACACCACGTCTTTTAATTCTGAGGTTGGGTTTTTCAGCACTCATCAAGAAGATCCTGAATCTTGAGCGGGTTCTTTCCACATGGACCCTTTTATGCATTCATGGTTCCTCCCAAAGTCTACAAACATGTGAGTGAGTTTAATTGACCTGTCCAGGGTGTACCTGCCTCTCTCCCACTGATTACTGGAAATATGAACCAAACTCCTGTGATCCTGACCGGATCAACCAGCAAACAAGTTGAGGTTCTGCAGGATACTGACCCAAAACAAAGGCGTTCATGATAACACCAGAGATGGACGTTCCCACCATGAAGCGAAGGGCTGCGTAGACGTAGAAATTGGGAGCGAAAGCAGCGGCCACGCCAAAGGTTGCTTGAATAGCCAAACTAATAAGGATGATAATCCGGCGACCATATCTGACAGACACAAAAAGACAAAAGCTGTTCCAGAAAGCAAAACATAAAGGAGGAATTCAACTCATTAGGGCTAACCTACTGGTAGTTTTTTTCAAGGAAATATTTGAATGGTTTTCAACTTACTTATCAGCCAAGTAACCGAATAAAACAGCGCCGACAAGGAGTCCGAACATGTAGACAGACGAGCCGAGGTTGTTGAGGCTGGAGTTGGAACAGACCAGGTCCCACTGGAACAGAGAAAGACAGATGTAGGTGAAATAGTCTGAAGCTTTTTGCAGCGGCTCTTTAACTGGAACAGGGCTGGAGGGCATTAGTGATGAAATCTGTGACTGATTTCTGAGTGAGTGGAAGAACAGTGAACTCTGAGAACAGCAGCAACACAGAAAAACAGGTTTAGGTTTTCAGGTTTTTGTGAATACTCAGAGATGAAGATGAAGTCAGAGTCGAAGCTCTCCAGTTCCTCCCTTTGACTGCTAATACACTTTTAGCGTTTAAGTGTGATTAACTAGTGCAGAATTATGAAATAAATTTATAATTTAGAACATTTATGTCTTTATTTAAGTCAGTTCAGCTGTTTTTCTGTGTTGGATCGGTATCGGTAACCTCAGATATCGGTATTCGGTGCCGCTATGGGAAGCGAATAAAGTGAATCTGTGCGTCCCAATCCAGGACCAACATCCGTCACCTTCACGTGTCATAATCACACTCTGCTATGACGTGCAGAGAGGAATCTGAACTGCATGTGTCCGTCTCCTCTCCCCACTCACTGTCAGATATCACAGAGCCATCTGTCGTAAACCAGCTGCACGGCTTCTTATGTTTAACACATTAATGGAAACTGTGAATGTTCAGAACCCAGGAGAACGTGTCTCCAGCCGCTCTGCGTGGTGTTCCACTCACCTCGGTGACAGTGGTGCTTTGGAATGTCTCCTTGCTGTACTCCCAGCCGTCCTGGCAGCTCACGGTGGGGTGCCCACCTCCGGGGGCCGCAGCTCCGCCAGGGGCCACGGTGACGCCGCTGCTATGGTTCAGGGCCATGTTGCAGGACAGCTCAGGTCGGCCATCTGGCCCGCTCAGAAGGCTGAAGTTCAAAGTGGCGGGGGTGGCCCCTGAGGGCCAAGCGGAGCGGCAGAGATGAGGGGGTACGGCCCCGGTGAACACAGACACCAGCATGTGGAACGCCAGGAAGATCTGAGGCACACAGATCCACACATACAGGAGCTTCTGGAACTTCCCAAAACCTCCGATTTTAGTCAAAATGTCATCGAAGTTCATTGTGCTGGTCGGCTGGAGATGCACACCTCAAATGTTTCTAACCGGTTTGCTCTGACAGAGAGGATCCCCAGACAATACACTCAAACTGGCAAACAGGAGAGCTCATCAGCAGACAAACGTCTGCAATAGAAATCTGCAGCAGGCAGGTGATTAGCAGCCAGTTGGCATGCAGACGCAGTCACACCTGCTGGGCTCTGACAGCGACCTGGAGCTGTGCACCGCGGGACGCTCTGAGGCTGCTCTGACCTCAGAGTGATAGGGAAGAGTTTAAAGCAGGAGGGAGGGGCCTGCAGTTGCTGGGAGGAGCCAGTGGAGGATGCTCCACTATCCCTCCGCCCTCCCTGAAAGAGTTTCATAAGATTAAATTAAGTAACTGGCTTGGAGGTGAAACTGAGAGTTTGTCATGATGTAGGGGGAGAAGGGGCTATAGAGGAGGGTAGCTCTGTTCTGATGTGGATAAAAGCAGAAGCATCACATGCCGTGTGTGTAATCCCTGAGATTACACTGCAGTTGTTTGGAGATTCCTCCTGTGTTACGTTCTGAATGCTGCTGGGTGGAGTGCTATAGTTCAGGGCCACGACATAAAGACAGTAGAGATAGCAGGGCGAGATTAGGAATGCATTCACTTCTTCATTCATCACATCCGGACCTGCCTGGGTCAGCGTGGGTAATCCTGCATGCTGCTGGGTTTAAAGTGACTCCTGTAAGAAGCATTCAGTAAAGTGGAGCAGAGCCCCAGGGTAATCTGAGAGCTGTGGGGTGCGTCAGGATCAGCAATCCGGCCTCCATGTGCTTTCAAGAAAATTCTACAAATCTTACAGAAAAGAGTTCCAAGAGTTGGGGAACCAAAGCAAAAAAAAAACGAGGTGGTGAGGAGTGGGGGGCCATGAGGAAGAGACGACTCACCACAAACTTTCTGTTAAAACTGTAAGCAGGAAATAGAAAAGCAAGAGCAGAAAATAAATGTTTATCTCCCAGCCTCCTGAAACACAGGAACTTTCGGCTAAAGACATTTTAAAATAAGTTTCCATCTTATGAGTGAACACTCAGGGAATTTCAGGGAATTGTGGATAAAACCTGCAGCGTGTTGATTTGCAAAGAAAAGATGTTGTCACTACTTTGACTACAGCAGAAGATGCAGATGGATCAGGGCCGTGTGCAGCCTGAGTGCGGCTCATTCCTGAAGGAAAACCTCTTGAAATCCCTCCAGATTCCCTTCAGCACGCTGATATGAAAATAACATTCAACTTCCCATCAACACGGTGGCATTCACTGGCATTCCTGTGACTCACAGCCTCATCACAGCAGCTGGCACAGCAGCAGGCTCCACCCGCAACATGGTCTTTTAAGTAACTAACGCGTGCTACACAAGACCTCACACGTGTCTGCATCAATGGTGTAGGCTCTGTGGTGATCAGATAATAAGCTTAAACCGTACTTTGACGGAAATGGCGGATAAAGTTCTAGTTCAATGTAAAAAGGCAAAATGCATGGCTAAAAATAATATGAAATAAAAAGCATAGCATCTGAAACAAAGAAAAAAACATTTAAAAATGTCAGTGCCTAAAACATCGCAGTGCTTTGAATCACTTTGTGATGAAACATTTACAATCAGACAACTTAGATAACCAGCAGCTGGTTATCTAATAATTATCGATTATTTTATCGATTTATTGGAGTAAAAAAAAATGCTGTACAGATTTAACCTCTTAAGCTTATTTAAGGCAATATTAGAAATGAAGAAGGAAATGCAAATACACAAACAAATCAAATAAGACAGTAACAGATTATTGCCTAAAATCCAGAAACAGCATGACAATGAGGAATTCTGGTAGAACATAGTTACAGTTTGTCATATCAAAATGCAAAATGCTCATATTCTTTGTATAGTTCTGGATTAATTACTTTGTTCCTTCAGAAAACAGTTAGACTCTGTACACTCATGTTAAATGTTAATAGATCAATACATTTGTTGATGATTATTTAAAAAAACAATTAATAATGTTTGGTCTGATCAATCATTTCAGCCATAAAAAAATATAAATTCCTTTCGATGTTTTTTTTACACATTAAATTGTCTCTAAATTGCCTAAATAAAATCAAGTGCCTCCATTTGTAAATAAAAAAACACAATTTTGTGTCACAGCAACAACTTTTTCCCCTAACTAAATATTTATTCCATGAAGTTGTTCCTTTTTGACAAAGATACTCATAGATATTATGAACTACTGCTAAATGCCATTCAGACTGTGGGCAGACATCACTCCCCACAGTGATGCCCTCCTTTCTGACCTCTGCAGCCTCTGCCACAAGTCAACGATGTCAACAGGTCTCAGCTTTAACTCATTTACATTAATGTGGAAAAACTGTAGGGGGAGATAGAGTCTTTTTCACATGCAGTGCTCAAAGTTTAGGGAGTTCAACATTTATAAGGCTTTCAACTTGTGTTGGCCACGTGGAGGTCCTTCAGTTTATATGTAAATGAGCTGAGAATGAGCAGAGGAAGCCACATAGAAATACATTTTAGTTGGTCTGCTGGTTTTGCTCTGAAAAATGTAGAAATGCTGAAAAATACCAAACGGGTTTAGACAAGCAGCAGCTGGAGAAAAAGTTTATTCTGACCAAATCCGAAGTGATTTCTCCAAGGACCAGAGGAACAGTCTGTTCAGCATGAACAGGAAGAAAAGGCACAGCAGCACAAGTTTTTGATGAACCCTCGTGAAGTGAAGCCAGTTCACTTCACTTTACTTATACATAGTGCCAATTCACAATAATGTCCTGTCTCACACATTCAAAGAAAAAAAGTAAATAATTCCAATTCAATCAAACACACATCCCTTCAAAATTCTGTAAAATCAGATGATCTGAAAAGACACTTGAGATTCATAATGCATCATAAGCAAAAGGAGAGGGTCGATAGTCAAGACAAAACCTTCAAATTATGGCCCAGACTTATTCTCACTAACAAATGACATAGATTTCAACGAGTAATTTTTTTTAAAAAAGTAATCAATCTCTGGGATATGAAGGTTCCAGGAGAACCTTTGTATTTCTGTGTTTCTGGTATGCCTGTGAATGTGACACACAAGCAATATCCTCAAACAGTGATAGATGCTAAAGCTGCTTCTCTTGGATCATTTTCACTTCAAAACCTGATCCGATGGAATGCTGGAAACAAATGTTGTGTTCAAGTTGTGCTAAAAGGAGTTAGCCTCCAGGTGAAGCTATTCAAAGCTAAAATAGTATCTCAATGCCAAACATGTAGCAGCAGCACGGACGTCAGTGTCCACTGTCACATTTCTAAAGCTCCATGAATGATCAGAAGTTCCTGAAACTCTGGAAAGATGAATGTGTATTAAAAAACTCTGCACCAATCTGATGGTTGTATATGACATAAATAACAGATTAAAAACATTAAACATACTTGTTGTTGAGCTACCAACAAAGATATGCTAGATATTTTAGCATTAGAAAGGCTTTCTGAATATAAAATGTTGGTTATTTTGTTGACATGTGAACAGTTTGAACTGATTGCAAATTAAATAAGTGGTGGAACTGAGTTTAACTACTTCTCAAAATATGTTAATCCATTAGTAGGATGTCCACACAAGACAAAATGTGTTCTCAATTGCTTTTTTATGAGACTTTACATAAATATACTGCATCCTATCTTATGCAATAGCATTTTTTAGGCATAACCTCAAAATAACTTGTTGGGAGAAACATGGCCAAGCTCAGTGTTATTAATGCCATCATCTGCATTGGTTCGTTTCCCCACTTATGACTAAATTAAGTTATAATTATTTGCTGAATGTTCTCATTGTGTGGCTGATGAGTCATATCATTTCATTCTTGTTGTCTTAGTTACTCTGATTGTCTCAGTATAGGAGGAAGAATTGCTTATGATTTATTTTTTTATTGAACTAAAAGGTTTTGATGTCCCACTGTGCAACTATTCATCCTTTGGAAGAACATCTTGATTTTGAAATGTGGAGTTCTTGGTGGGGTTTAAAATATGCCGCAGATTGCACTAACATAATTAGACACAGGACAGAGTGCAGTATGTGGTTTTTATGCTGCTCCAGAAACACCAGCTTTGATGGCAGCTTGTTTAACTTTAGAAGCTGATCATCCATTTCTCTGAATTTGGCTTTCTGCTGTCTGACCTCGTCCTTCTCTGCGTGAATAACTATTTGTTATGAATCTGAGTGAAAGGGCAAGCTGATCCCTGCCCTTCTGGAGAATCCCCACCCCCCCTGCCTCCTCCACCACCCACCTCCAAAAAGGCCTGCAGCAATAGACAGGTTACAAATGTAATAATCTTAGGTCAACTGTGTGGATCATAGTTTTCTAAATGGAACCTCACTACAAGTCTCTGCTAAAACTGGGAGAAATACAGAGACAACACCCAGAGGAGCCTCTGTTATCCAACCAACACATAACCAGGAAGTGCAACATCAAAAGAAAAAAAAAAATAAAACAAAAGCATCACACCTGTGGCTAAAAGTACAGTTGCTAAAATAAAAGTAAAAAGTATCCGTTCCAGAAATGTGTGTGTGTGTGTGTGTGTGTGTGTGTGTGTGGGTGTGTGTGTGTGTGTGTGTGTGTGTGTGTGTGGTTGTTTGTCCTGTCTGTCTCTGTGTTGCTCTGCAAGAGACCGGCGACTTGTCCAGGGTGACCCTGCATCTCGCCTGGAACGTTAGCTGGAGACAGCGACAGCACCTCCTGACCCCACTGGGGACAAGAGTGGAAGAAAATGGATGGATGGATGGATGGATGGATGGATGGATGGATGGATGGATGGATGGATGGATGGATGGATGGATGGATGGATGGATGGATGGATGGTTATTCATGTACCGAGTAACTGATCATAACATTTTATTCAATATTTTAAGGTGAGGTGATTTTACTTATATAGCACATTTTCAGCAACAACGCAGTAAACGTGGTTTACATGAAGAAATGAAACAAATCAATAAACTAAAGAAAGGAGCAAAAAGGGAGAGAGAGAAAAAAGCTAAATGTTGATTTGAAGTACAAAAACTAAATGTTCCTGTTCTGGTATTACAGCTTAGAAAGAACAAAGTTGCGTGCAAACTTTGGTATTTTGAAGACTAAAATTATATATATAAAAAAAAAAAAAAAAAAAAAAAAAAAAAGAAAGAAACTGCAGCAACACTGTGAGATTTCTCAATAAATGATCTGATTGTATGAGGCAGACATG